CGTATGACAGGCTGAAGTTTGGAAGCAAGAAGCTAGAGGTGTATCAGGCACTGATGCAACACGTGGCCAGGGACAATTCAGGCTTGAGCCTGGCTAGAAGAAAAGATGCCACATGTTTCTTGAGATGGATAATGTCAATGATGTCTGATAGCACCATCCTGGCATGCCACCAGAGAGCAAGTGGAAGTAAAACCATGGAGAAAAGAGTCTCAACGATCATCTTGAACGTATATCAGAGTACAGGAATAGAGAAAGAAGATGGTTCCAGACTATCCTTAGAGAACCATCGAAAGCTGGACGAGGTACGGAGGTTCTCTAATAAGAAGTTCGAGGAAGAACATGATGTTCACCGTAACCTGGCCTCGTCAGAACAGTACTCGAGACTCAGTGAGAAGGGGGAATACCAATATGTGTCTGGAGTGATGGGAATAGCCTACAATCCCTTCTTAGACTCGGAAGCTGGAGGAGCCCACAGAAACCATGAGGTAGCGGAGCTACTGAAGTTTTGGACAGAAAGAATAATTGAAATAGACGCGGTGGAAAAAGAGGGGCCGAGCCTGGGCCTGAGTCTTGAGAAAACACCAGAGGTGATAAGCATACCGCGCTCAAACAAGAGAGTTGAAGTGAACATGGGCGGTGGAAATGGCTTGTTAACCACGAACTTGGGAGTGATATGGAAGCTACTAAGACCCTCCTGGTGTCCACATCCCCATGCGAGTCTAATCGAGGAAACCACCGAGCGAGTGAGGTTAGCACCAACGGAAGATGAAGATCTGGCGAAGTTGAGTGTGCTACATAAGCTAATCACGCCCCAGATGCAAGAGCCAAGCGAAAGGACGAGCGACCCCGGGTCAGCAAAGAAATTGGAGCCGGGTAGCTGTCTGGATTCGACGTGTGGGAACGGAGAGCACATCTGCGATGGACGGTCATGCGTCAGAATACTGTCGTTTCAAAAAGAAGACCTGGTCACTTGGTTCGAGGACATCACAGAAAGGGAGAAAAGTGAAGTGCAAATAATAGCGGAATGTTACGCGAGAACCACGGTGAATATAGCGACAGCTCTCGGATTCTTCTCGAGAATGTGTGGTCTGCAGGCACTGGAGAGACTGGAATCTAAACATCATTTAGTGACGGCGTTGAGCGTAGAATCATGGCCCGGGGTGTTGCAGGTGACTCAAAAACACATCCGGAGCTGGAAGGTTGGTCTTGAGGCGGAAATGGGATTTCCCATGAGCGAAGCTTATGGCTTGCCATTGAACGCGAAATCGCTGATAGGGTCAATGATGGCCAACTTGTGCGGAAGTCACTACCCGCTACACATGGCGATGGTGGAAGTGTCCAGCCAGAGAATACTGGTGGACAAGGCCTTCTCAGTGCCCAAGTGCGTGAGGTTGGCTCGGATGTCGCATCACTCGCACAAGTTGTTGAGAAAAATCAAAGGGACAGTACCAAAAGAATTGAGAGATGACTTAAGCGAAATCTGGGGAGAAGATCTTCTGAAGTTGGAAAGAGAAAACACAAGCGATCACGAGAGACAAAACGTGATCGGAAAACCTGTGGGAAGTACTCCGAACCTGGAAGATAACGACACGATGCACGAGAAAATGATGGAGCTTGAGCCTCTCTTGGAAGCCTCAGGGGAGCGTAATCTCAGGAGCATTGAGATCTCTCATGGGGAATGCCCATGCCACTGTTTGGCACAAACGGTGTGGTATCCAGATCACAAGAACCTTTGCCTGGTGTGGGATGTGGAAGAGATTCGGTCGATCGGACTACCGGATCACCGGCAGAAGGTGACGCTCTTAGTAGTGAGTACGATGTTAGCTCTGAGATGGATAGAAGAGAATATAACGAAGTATCGGGAGGCGACGACGCCAACGGCTGAGTCAATATACGCGATAGACTACAGCAGGAGACTCGAGTTGTTTGAGACTGCGTGCAAAGTATTCGCCATACCGACGGAAGTCAGGCACGTATGGAGTCGCTTGAGGTACTTTCCATGGTTTCGGGCGACACTGACGTCTTGGTTGTACATGACAACGAAAGATCACATGAGAAAACATCAAAAAGAGTATCGACAGTTCCAGGCCGAGATTGGGCCGGAAGCTTTCAAGAGACCCCTGCTAACCCATCGTAATGCGATCACGACAGGATGGAAAAGAGTGGGTAAGATGTCTAGAGACAATACCAAAGCGAGGGAGTCGATACTAGAGGAAGACCTGGCGAAGAACGTGAGCTTGAGCCTGCACAACTCCTTTTGCTTGAACCGAGAAGCTAGGGTCAAGGCACTACCCAACCAAGCAAAGAGGTTGCAGGAGCAGAGAGAATGGATGCGATCCTATGAACAGCTGAAGGCTTGGGAGGAGATTGTGATTAGTTCCGATGATGAAGAGGAACTGTTGAGACAGTTTGCCGCATCTAGCACTTCAGGATGCAGTACCTCCAAGGCGAAGAGTACGAGATGAATGGGCAAATCGGATGGATCTTGAGTCTTGAGAGGGAAGGGGGGCTTGAGCGTGGATCCGAGTGAAACTTGGATTCACGAAAAAGAAATTTTAACAAAGCAAATATTGTTACTAATATACTATATTTATTATATAAATCGAAATGCTGCATGACAATTTCCTGATTGAATAGGACAAAAGAGATTTTAAAATGATTGGCTTGAAAAGCGAAAATTCAAGGGTGCAGGTGTATGCAGATTTTGGTTGCTGTTTAGCAATAGTGTGAAAATTTTAAATGGCTGTGAATTTTGGGGTGTAGATAAGCTTAAATCTGCTGCAAACTTCTGTAAATGACCACTGGCACTGTATCTTGAGCAACACTCTGTTTTTCTGGGACTCACTGGCAGAAGACAGCGCGCGATGAGGACATCGATCTCGAGTCCGGGGAGTATGTGCCAGTCGGTCATATTTGGAAGTTTGACCTTGAGAGAAGCAAAAAACACTTGATTTTGGAGTGAAATTTAATTTTTCAAAATTTCGAATGGAACCTGTCATGCACGATTTTCTCGCGATAACTGAAAATCAGAAAAAAGAAATCAGAACAATTTCAGAACGATTGAGTCACACACGCGGGAAAGTTGTAAGAAAAAGCAGTAGGAAATTGCTATTCGCAATTTCCATCACTATCATAATCGAGAGTAGAGCTGTCCCATCTGTGACAGAGACAAGAGCATTCCCACGAATTGGATTATAGCGACTGGAGTGTTATTCGGAACTGGACTAGAGTGAACCTTCGGTGGAAAGGTGGACAACTTGAGTGTCCTAATGGTTCACAAGAAAACTATTGTCTAGAGTATAAACTCGTTCTCATTGTTAAAACTATAAAACATTAGACTCATTTAGTTACGTTATTTAATTCTTGAGTTAACTACCGACTGGATTATTTCCCACTTCTTGAGCGTGCTACTATGTGAGTACAAATTTAAATTCCTAGAGTGTGTTTTATAATTGTTATGTTGAGGTAAGGCGAGTTTTAGGTTGATCCATCTGAAATGGATCAAAGTTCCACTGTCTAATAAAAAGTAACTTAACGGATTGTTCCAACCCGGTTTTTAACGGCGTTCATGTATTTTGGGTATCTAGAGACCTAAGTATGGGGACGTTTCTAATTCTAGAGTGGGGGGATATTTTAGTAGTAGCCTTTAAGCTGTAACGGGTCGTAGTCTCATGTCACAAGCGAACCGAACTGGCTCCGACCGTTCTTGAGGTAGAAAAACACAAGAGATGGTGTCCCTGACCCTTGAGCCAGTGGTTATAGGGCCTATTTTTCTTAAGCCTCATGTGTGACTGCAGTAGACGAATGTTACAATAAGTAGTTTGTTTATTTTGTTTGATCGGTGGCTTTCATGATAAAATTTTCTTACTCATAAAATTGGGATAGATTATTTGATTACATTGATGTAATTATTTATCCACATTTTAATTGATTTTTTCACAATTACAAAATTACCACTGAATTATTTGTTTAAGTTTTGGCTTTTTGGTGCCAAACTAGAGCAGGCTATTACCGCCGAGCAGCGGATCTTTTGATTTTGTTCATTTTTGCCAGCATAAACATTTCGTATATTTTTTAATTAATTTTAGCACGGGACATTTATGACTGCGATCTGGATTTGAACAACACTATTTATGATCGTTTTTTTGGGGGTAAAACTGGAATTGACAGAAGGTTAATGCGCTGAATTTTGACAAAATAGACTAAATAAAAACAGAGTCGGGAATGAAATCTGAAAAAATCACAAGACAGAAGAGAGTAACAAAAAAACTTGATACAATTCTCGATCGAACAAGAACTGCTTAAAAGTATGCAACCAACACAATTTACTAGCAGAGACTAAGAAACCATACTTAATTTATTTCATATTCCACTTAATTAAAATATAAAATCAGTTGTGTACTTCACAAGTTGATGAAAATTATACTTTTTACTGATTATGAATTTGAATTTTTAATAATCATGATTGGAAACTCACAACAGTAAAAACGGATTGTAATTCCCCATCGGAAAAATATTCCTAAAATTTTACCTCTAAGATGAAAAACCAGGCTACAAAGTGTAATGACAAGTGGTCATTCTAAAAGATATAAAATAGATAAAATTTAAAACTTGTTGAACGAATATTGATTAGCTGTAAAATGAAGCATTTTTACTGATAGTCATCGGTACGTTTTCAGTTTTTTTACTACAAATTTTTTTAATTTTTCCAAAGATTTTTAGCTTGACCAAATAGTTTGTAAAGTTTGATATATCAAAATTTATAAGCTATAAAATGAAGCATGGCGACCATGAGTTAGTTAATTTTTAAAGTTTACTGATGACTTTCAACTTGAAAGCAATTTGGGTCAATCTGGGAGGAAAATGAGTTTATTCAGAAAAATTGATTCCAAGCTTTGCTTATCGGGCCTGTTTTAATAGGGCCTGTTCACGCCCTAACATATAATACAAATTAGGCTGTTATAAAAAAACACCATGAATTCCGAGAAATGAAGTCTGACCATTTTGACATTTTTGCCGAGATTGGGCTGGACGATACATTCGTCATCTTGACACAGCCACTGCTGGAAGTCAATGGGAGAATCCAGGTTGTGTCTGCTGTTTGTAATCACCATAAGAGACAGCGCTTGCTCAGGGGACAACAGTACGGCTGCTATGTTCACAAAGCTACAAACCCATCAAGTGAAAAGAAAACAGTTAACAAATTCGCTATGAACACCGTCTAAACTTTCCTAGAGATATCACCACCGCCAAACTACACCAAAAAGAAAATCTTGCTTGGCGTTTTCATCTAGTTTTTGAACATCTTTTTGAAATTTTGAATTCAAAAACATTAAGGATTGCGTTTTGTATAATTTTGTATATAAATATATTAAAAATTCGAAACCTTTTAGGTTGCGTTTTGTATATTTTTGTGTATCCAAGAAAAAATACAAAACTTTGCAGAAAATGCCATTTTGAACATATATTGTTTGGAAGGTTTTGCCGAAAAAAAGTTTTTTAAATTAACAAATTAACATCTCTATGAAGGGTAGCAAAGTAGTCGCCTATCTGCCAAAGGCGAAAACGAAGAAAGGCAAAAAGAGCAAACTGTATTTCCAGGTGGGGGCTCAAAATACGCTTTTAATTTTTAACCCCGGCTGAGTTTCTTGTACCTTTCGTTTTAACCTTAAAATGCATTTGGCCTGTCACTTCATTGTTGGCAGTGTTATTTTTTGAAGTTTAAGATAAAGCTTTTTTGATGTTTCGGATTAGAAACATATATTTTCGAAGTTTTAACTTATGGTGTATTACCTCTCTTTTGCTTGTGCATTGAACAGTCTACTGAGCCGGATGCCCACCCCCTTCTCGCTACTGTATCCGACCACTCTCTGCATGTTGATTGCACTCAACTCCCTGTCCAAATTGAGGGGGTGCTCTTTGTTCAGTCGCCACTCGATCCACTTCTGAACATCCTCATCGGAACTGGAGACACTGAACATGAATATGTCACGATAGAGCGGAAGGACTCAAAAAGCGCAAATACTGGCTGTTGGGGGGGGGGGGGGGGAGTTCCGGTGTTTGGTGCCGGGGGGGAAGGGGGGTTGCCGGGGGATGCCCGGCGGGGATGGGGGGTCGTGTAGGTTTTAAGATTTTAATGCCAAGGCAAAATAGAAATGGCGAATAGATATTTTCTCTTCATAATTGGAGAATTATAAAAGATTCTTTTTATGCCATAGATCCTAATTAAACTTTTGGAAATTTTGAAAAAGTGTTCTTTGAAATCGCCATTTGTGTCAAAACACTTCCCCTTATCACTTAAAAAGAATACGTAAACGGTTGAGCTTGTAAAAAGCAAATTTCAAATTGGTTTGCTTATGATGCTCCTCTTTACAAGAATAAAATAACATGCTCTATCCTTGAGATATATGAAATTCTTGTGAAATAAAAAACTCTTGAGACTAACGAAACTTTTGAGACATGTGAAATTCTTGAAACATATGCAGGATCTACTTACTAATTGCCCCCCCCACCTTTTAAGAAAGGTGGGCAACTGTTAAGTAGATAAAAATAACGCATTTTTGACCAATCAGAATGCAGCAAAATTCTAAATCTCAATAGAAAGCTCACTGCCAATTTACTACTTGTATTAATAGGGGTGGCAACTCTTAAGTAGCTATCAAAGGGGGCAATTTTTAAGCAGATCCCATATGCAATTGACACTGATTTCGATTTGTATTTTAGACAAACTTAGCTTGAAACTTTTTTATACAACTGTAGAATTGGTGATTCTACTGTATTACATGCTATAGTAACCTGAGCGTAAGATTAAATTGTCATTAAGTTAAGTAATAGAGCAAACAAAGGGTAAAGTTCAAAATAGTTCATTCTTCGAATATATCGTCCCTTCTATTCCAGAAAAAAAAATTTGACAAAATCGGACCCAAAAAAGCTAACGTTATAAACTTCAGAGGAGCGATACTAGAGATGATTTGACCCGAGCATACAAAAAACAGGAACCCTCAGACCCTTGGGGGGGGGGGCAAGTAATAACGGTCCCCGAAAGTGTAAATGACCCTATCAGAACTCGGAAAGTAGCGGCGGTGTTGGGCTCAAATTCTAGTATGTTGTAGGCCTAGTTAAGGGAAGCTTAAGTTTGGAATCCCAGCGTCCTAGGACCCCCACCGGTTTTATGCCCTAAGTAAACAAACCCACCCCTAATTTCCGGAAGTCGTTTCTCAGTCTCCAATGATCACAGGGATCTGAAACTTGGAGGGATGATAGCTAATGGCAAGATACATCTTGTATTATAGTTTGAACCAAATCCGGTGGTTGGATCGGAAGCTATTAGCACTTGGAAAAACACCCCCCCTAGACCGGAAATAGGAAATTTACGCAAAATGATGAATGGTGGCATAAATAATGAATTTATTGCGTCAATGGACACAAAATACGAACCCCAAAAAAGACCCCTTGTGAGTGAAAAACCTCCGGCGACTCCTTCCGGTGTTAATAGCTTTTCTCCGGTAAAAGTGATAATGGACCTTAGAAATGGGATAACTTGTGAAGTATTGTTGGGACATGAATGAAACTTTGTAGTTAGGACCCCATGGGATTCTGAACCAGATATGGAATTTTGACCCCGGTTGATCCCTGGGTCAGTTTAGCTGTACGAATGATCTTTTAATAGCATTTCAATTAGACTAAAGAAAAGTAGTCACAGAGGAAGTTGATAGTATTAGGACCGTAGTATGAGAATTAAGTCTCCCAAATATTATGAACGGACGTGGAGTTTACTTGGCTTCACGGAGGTGACTTTTAGTTTAATTTGACCCTAATAGACAAACTACGTTCCCCTGATAGCTAGAAGGTCAGGATTGGAATAGAGTACAGATCGAAGTTTTATATGCCTGAAATTAATTAGTTACCCATGAAAAGGGCCTCCCCCTACCCTTGGGAGGTCGGAACGTTAACGAGATAATTAAAATAAAGACCTTGGGAGGATCACTGAATAAATATAACATGGTTTGGAGGTTGAGTTGAACTCGAGGGCTGAAGTCACGGAGGTCAGGAATTAGTTGATTAGAATCGTGTGACATTTGTTTGCTTGGTCAAGTTGTGACACCTACCGCATACCGGGTATCTAATCAGCGTGAAAAGATTGATAAAATAAAGCGAACTTGGCACGTAGCAGAGTTGAGAGGGGGAGGAATATAGTCTTAAACAAGTGCGGACGGGTGATTTAAGCGGATGTCAGGATGAATGGCGTGACTTAACTAAAAGTAAAGTCTGAAGAAAGATAAAGAATTGAAGGGTACCGGAGAGCCTGTAAGATTCAGAACAGTTGTTGGCTACTATTAAGAGTAGATGGTTCTCAGTCAGAGAAGAGAGCAATTGATACTGAGAGAGAGAGAGTATAGTTGGTTCTCAGTTAGTTAGAGAGAACAACTATTGCTAGTTAGTCAGGTAATCGGTTCTCGGAGTAAGAGACCAGTAGATAGTTGGTTCTCATCAGAGGTTCTCTAGAGAGAGAGAACAGTTTAGTGATTAGTGAAATTAGTGGAAGTTAATTGCAATTAGGCAATTTGGCCAATAAATCTTGGACCCTTTCCTTTTGATTTGATTATTAGATTATATTCTGGCCACTCAGAGCCTTCTGTAATTGGACATATAATCATCTAAATTAATTTATCATTGGAAATTCTTGCAATGGTTTCGAGAAGACAAGACAGCCGGAAGAGCAATACACAGGAGGGGGCAAGCAACATAATACAATACAGAATAGTTGCCACCAAAATAACCCTTTCGGGATTGTAGATAGTAGTGAGTCTCGGTCGCCCCGCTGAATTCACTGACCAAGGGACGACTTTGCGGTGTCGTTAGGAAAGAGAGAACAAACCTAGAGAAGCAACCCCCTAAATCTACAACAATCACTAGGGAAGAGGCCAACTCCTTTAATCTTGAATTTTTGCTTCACGGAGGGTAACGTGCGCCAATCCTCTAAAAATCCTACATTTGTTACCGTCTCGTACTCTTACTATGCAGCAATATTGGCAGAAGATTGCGTTAAAATGTTTTAACTTTCTCAGTTCGAATCGACTTATTCCAAATAACATAACACGATTTTCAGAATATCACTAGATCGGTTCTACAAAAATGTCTACTCTAATTTCATCAAGACAAAAATTTATTCTTGAGCATTGTTTTCTGATTGGGGTAGGTGTTGGAACATCTAATCTTACCTGATATCTTCTTCTCCTAGCAATGATGCATCTTGCAGTTTTTCCGGTTCATTCTTTGCAAAGTCAACACTCTGGATGTAGAGACACTCCCCCCTCAATCTGGGTGAGATCACTGGGGAGGGGGAGTTGGATTGAGTCCTGTAGTGGGCCAGAATGTCCAGTTCTCTCGGGGTGGGGAAGAAGTTTCCTCTGGAATAGTAGCCGGACGAATAGAGGGGGGCAGCCACGTCTTCCTCGCTGGAACATGGCATCGTGTTTTCATTATTAAGAAACGAAACTACTTAAAAAACGGTTTCTGGTAAGTTAAATAATTAAAACCATAAACATTTTTTGTTTTAACGTATCTTTTCTCCATATAACGTTTTCGTAGCTTCAATAGATTTTGAAAAGTTGTAATTTAAAATTTAAGCTAAGTAGTTTATTTCAGCCTAATTTAGTTTACTATGTCGTGAAATAATATCTCTTATCATGAAATATTTTAAGATCACACCAATCAGCACTTTGTTCCCCCCTCTAAATCTAGAGCAAATTCGTGTTGCTGATTATATTCTACTAAAGTTGGCTCATTTCAGTTTCCCTCAATATTTTGAACTCAATTTTGATTTTTTGGCTCTTTTCCAGTCCCCCCCCCCCCTTTCAAAATACCGAGTTTTTTTTTGTTTTACGTGTTATTACGCTGTAAAGTATGAAGAACATATCTGTTCACAATTGTCGATTTGTTCACCACGCCCAATTTCATTGCCTTAGGACAACGTTAATTAAGCTTTTCAAAATTGAATTTGAAAAGGGGAACTGGAAAAGAGCCGATTTTTTTGCTGCGTAATAATGTGTTGCCATTGGCGTGGATACGATTTTTCATCACCTGTGGGGTTCTACTCTCAAAGTGAGAGTGAGACATGGCACTGCCGTAGTCACGGGGAAACTGTCCTCGCCAGGGGGTCCTTTCTTCTCCGGCTCCCCCTGGAACACCCGCAACTGGTGACCCCCCACCCGCAGAAAACTCTTGCATTCCTCCCCCTCTCCCCAGTTTTCAAACAGAGCCATTGCCCCCATACCCGCCACTAAAAGATTAATTATCAATAGTAAGGTATCATGAAAACTTGAAGTGAACTTTAACTTCATTAGACAGTAACAACAGCATGGATTTTTTTATACCATCTGAAAAAATTGTTGTCTTGTGATCAATTTTGTAGGGTTGACGGGTTTTAAGTTTCCCATACCCCAGAAAGAAAACAAAAATACAAATCTGCCCACTATTAATGTAGACTTTTTCTCCAAAACTGAAACAGACGTGCCAATATTGCAATTAATACATGGATCATATCTCCACAAGATCTGAAATAAGTAAGATTTTAAGCAGATCAGATCTGATTCTCGAGTTTTTGTTAGGTACGGGTTGCTAGTTTGGCTAATTTGGGAGATTTAACGCGCGATACTTTTCGTGCTTTCAACGTGTAAGCGGATTTTTAATCCGTGTTAAAGATCGTTTCAAATTGAACTTAGGCAGGCAATTTGTCTCTATAAAACTTTGCTACTTGCGAATTATTGTTTCGACTTTTGTAAGGAAAGTAACGGAATATTTGTGCTCGTGTGGTTTTTTTCAGACAAATTTCGACTTTTTAACAAAAAATTTTTGACGGAATTTTTGCGCTATTTACGCGTATAGAATTCCCGAATATTAACGCGTATAGAAATCCCGAATAGAAATAGTTCCTATAGTTAGGCTATCTGGCATAATTTCTACGATACTAGGAGCACAATCTACCACTCTGTACTTTATATGGCGTGTGGCGGGATGATTTTAAAAAAAAATTCAAAATTTTGAATTTTTTTTTTCGAAAAACTCATCTTTTTTAGCAGCGAACACTGCTTCAAAGACCTTAAAAGACAGTCGGAACATACAGGCCCTGATACAAACATTGTTGTTATCTTTTGTACGTAATTGTTCCGATTTTCGAAGCGAAAGTAACGGAATAATTGAGCTCGGGGTTGATTTTTTTTTCTTCAGACAATTTTCGACTTTTTAACTAGCCGTTTTTGGCAAGTTTTTTTTATCATTCAAAAGAAATTGTTGTCCGGAACTTAAATTTGAAAAGATATTTTACCTGTGATTGTTTTTTGTAAAATTATGGAGGTTTAAAATGTGACAATTGACGCGGGATAAATTACGCGTTATTAACGCGTAGGCAGAGATTTATTCCATCTTAGAAATGGTTCCAAATTGATTGGAGTAAGTTTGTTTGCTATAAGTCAGATGTTACTAGGAGTGAAACTTATTACTTTGTACTTAATATGGCATGTGGGGTGATGATTTTCACAAAGTCTGAAATTTTTTTAAAAAAATTTTTCTTTTTGTTTTAATTACATCATTTAACTTTTCATGCTATTACTGCTCCATAACTTTAAAAGACAGTGAGAGTATTCAGGGTTTTACCCTGATATGAACATTTTTGTATAATTTTGAAAAAGTTTCAGGACTTCCTACACTCAGGGAAACTTAAAAAGGGTAATTTAGAAAGGGGACTGCTCAAGATTTTTTGACAGAGTGGGTTTGTAGTTTTTTTGAAAAAATTTGTCGATCGGTCTTAGGTCAGCTAATTTGAAACTTTCGTTCTCCTCCTAAAACTTAAACAGTTCTCGTCCGCACGCAATTTTGTGGAGGAAAAGGCCGTTGTTGAGAATTTTCAAACGAACTTTTTTGACCAAAAACCGTGCGGTGTGGCTTCCCCTTAAAATTACTATTAATTGGAGTTAGAAAAAATTTAGGATTTATTAACATTTGACCAATTAAAAAAACTGACGAAAGTGGAAACTTGAAGGCAAGACTTACAAGCGACAGTTTGATCGCAGGGCGTATATATGATTTTTTTCGAGGTGAGAAATTAAAAAAAATCAAAAATTTTGTCGACTTGATTTTTTTTCGACCAAATTGTTTTTCTGAACGCTATTAGAACACTATAGAGACGCTGTATTGACAAACTTTTGACAAAGTTTTGAATTTTTTATAGTTGGTCGACCAAAAAGGATGGTAAAACATAATACCGAAGGGGGGCCCTTTGGTTGGTAAGAGTGTCGATCCCTGAGGAGAGCGGGTGTCTGCCCCTGATTTATTTTTGTGTTGGCGAGGTGGATGAGATAGAATGAGTAAATTATCCGTCTATTTAAATAGTTGTTAAAATTATCAAGATTTCGCACGCCAAGTTTTTTGCACGCCGCTTCTGAATGGATAATTCAAATACAATCGATAAAATATATTTTTTTAATGATAAGAATTTTTATTCAAAAATTATCTGAATTGGAAAAACTGAATGCTAACTCATATGGCCTTACCCGAGAGAGAGGCGTCGTTGCGGGCAATTCCACTGACCCTGAAAATGAGGCTGGTGCCAGGATTGAGTGTGAGACCCTTCGAGTTAGCATGCAACCTAAAGAAAGGCAATTATTAAATATGTCTTTGGATCTCTTTAACTATCCCCCCTAGGGTACCCAGCAACGAATTAACCTATAAAGACATAATTCAATGGTTAAGCACATCAGAATTTTGTACCTAGTTGCGATTCTCCCCCTTTTTGCATATGGAGGATAGTTAAATCCGTATATTTTAATAAAGACAGGGGCAGACCTGGGGTTTTCTAGAGGAGTAAAAACAGATTTTAACAAAGGGGATGGGTTAAAAAATTGAATATTTTGTGCATATTTGTACACCGATTTTTGATTTTTCGAGCTCCCCTCGGAATCCTGTGTGATATCACAAAGAAGGATAAAGCAATTATAACTTTAGCTGTCGAATAAATATTTTTACATCAAGGTTCTTTTTTGCAGTAAGTAGAAAATTTAAAGCGGCTCTCGGGAAGATTTAGGCCTTCTTTCTCGCGATGTTTTGAACCCTCAATCACCCAAAAGGACCCTCGCATCCTCTTCTTTAGCAAAAAACTTTTTTTAACTGACCTAGTCACAAATTTTTTTAAATTTCTTAAACGGCTGGGCTCCAATATACAAACTAAATTGAGATCGAAGCGCGAAAAAAAAACGTATTGGTTAGACATTACGAACAGTTCTCCAAAACCCGGTCAAAAAGTAAAATTCGTTTCTATAATTGGCCCATAGAAGGACCTAAATAATTCAAGGCTTGAACTACGAAATACACATGTTAACTTTTTTTCTCTCAATCTAATTATTCAGCCTAAAAGGATTTAAGGGGTAATTTGTCCCACGCAGAGCCTGAAATTCACTTCAAAAAGTCACAGTTGAGTAATCAAACTCTAAAAGTTCATTCTCTTTGACTCTATCACCTCAACACATCTTACAGTCGTGTTTCAATTCATTTTAAGAGAGAAATTAACCGATAATACTAATCGCTTTAGGCAAACCAGGCATTGGCCATGAAAAAAAAACCTGTACAGCTATAGCTTTGAGCCCTTGAAATAATATGCTCTCATGAATCTCCCTTAATGACGCCAATTAGTAGCATCCAACTTGTAAAGTTCAGTTTCTAAGGGGGGTCTTTTACAACGCGACACCACGCCATTCACTTTTTAGTCGTGAACAACGGCAAAAAAAAACTTTCACCATTGTGAAATAGCGCAGCATTGGCAATGACTTAGAATGCACAGTATCCTAAGACATGTATACCTTGCTTGGAAAAACGAGTTAGAACGGAATACTTATTCAAGACCTAAATTCAATTCCTAAACAGTATGATGCGCAGTATGACGCAGGCTAAATCTCTTGTCATAAGAACCGGATGCGCAAAAAGTCTAAACCAATCTATCCCTTCAAATTATCCAAAACTGAGTAATTTTTTTTCTTTTTTTTTTGAATTTATGAATACCGAATTCTAATAGGCTGACAAAATGTTAGAGTATGGGGTCCTACTAGCATGAAGGACATCCCCGTCGCGTAGGGATTTAAGTCCCACACGGGGCTTTTGTATGTAGTGGACTGTGAACAGGGGGGATTAACAAGGAGGAAGGGGCTGTTTAATTGTGGATTGAAGATTGCGATTCAACCGGGGGGAGGGGTGAAAGGCGTTGGGGGCGCGGAAACTTGGGCGATGCAAAGCTAACACATCAGTTGCAGGGCTGAAGTTGTTACGTTATAGCTGGGGTGAAGTCTCAGTTTCAATGGATCTGTTCATGAGTAATGCAGATCTGGGCTGGTTTCCACTCCCCTCCCCCACATTTCAATTTTTCTGTTTTCATAACTGTTTTTTTTTTGTATTAAAATGGCGGAAAGTGTGATGCTACAAGGCAAATTATAAAAGTCAAATTGTTCACATTGGTTATTGTTCCGACTTTCGATACGAAAGTAACGGAATATTTGTGCTCGGGGTGGGTTTTTTTTTTCTTCAGACAAATTTCGACTTTTTAACTGGCCATTTTGATGGAATTTTTTTTATATCATTCGAAAGCTATTGTTGTCCTGAGCTTAAATTTGAAAAGATGTTTCACCTGTGATCATTTTTTGTAAAGTTATGAGGGTTTAAAGATTGCCATTTTGACCAATTTGGGACAATTAACGCGCGATATAATTCGCGCTATTAACGCGTAAGCGGAAATTTAATCCGTCTTATAAATCGTTCCAAATTGGTTGAAGGAAGCTTATTTGCCATAATTGATTTGTTACAAGGAACGAAATCTATCTTCTTAGACTTTATATGGCGTGTGGGGGGATGATTTTCATAAAAAATTTCAAATTTCAGAAAAAAAAAATTTTTCATTTTATTTTATTTCATTTAATTTTTTTTTGTTATTACTGCTGCTCCATAAACCTTAAAAGGCAGTCGGAACATTCAGGGCTTCACCCTGATACGCGCAGTCTTGTTTCGTTTATCATGCAACTTAGCAATTCGGCATGACAAAGTTATTGTTCCGACTTTCGATACGAAAGTAACGGAATATTTGTGCTCGGGGTGGGTTTTTTTTTCTCCAGACAAATTTCGACTTTTTAACTAGCAATTTTTGACGAAAAATTTCTACATCATTTGAAAGCTATTGTTGTCTTGAGCTTAAATTTGAAAAGATATTTCACCTGTGATCATTTTTGGTAAAGTTACGGGGGTTTAAAGATTGCCATTTTGACCAATTTGGGACAATTAACGCGCGATATATTTCGCGCTATTAACGCGTAAGTGGAGAGTTAACCCGTCTTAAAATCGTTCCAAATTGGTTGAAGGAAGCTTATTTGCCATAATTGATTTGTTACAAGGAGCGAACTTTATCCTTTTGTACTTTATATGGCGTGTGAGGGGATGATTTTCATAAAAAGTTTCAAAATTAAGAATTTTTTTTTTATTTTGTATTATTACATTTATTTTCTTAATGTTATTACTGCTCCATAAACCTTAAAAGGCAGTCGGAACATTCAGGGCTTCGTCCTGATACGAGCAGTCTTGTTTTACTTTTTCAAAACTAAAATTCAAAGGCCGGAAGGGGGAGTGAAAAAAAGCCCACACTCTTAAAAGTGTTCGCGTGTTTTTTTTTCGAGTAGTCACTTTGAATTATAAACAACTTAAACAAGGAGAAGTTACACGTTTTGGATCAACTCTGTTGTTTGATTACAACCTCTGGAAGACTGGTTTTCTTAGTTAGTCGTCCCTGAACCAAATTTGATTGGCGTCAAACGTAGCGAGATTTGAAAGCCCGGTTTTTATTGACCTGGCCTTGAGCCAATGACTATGGGCATTAACTTTCCACTCGTCGTGTGTGACGGTTCAAGCAAGTTACATATTGTTTTTCATGGCGCTGCATAATGTTCTGGAAAACTGGTCATCCCAACTACATTGAAATCGCCGACAAACATTTTTTAATCGTGGATATGCATACACCGGCGATCAGAACCGGCGTAATGAAAACATTTTGTTAGTTTGTAGATTTCCAGCTTTTTTATACAAAAAGATCATGATTTCTAAAACAGGCTATAAAGACATGAAAAACACGAGAGCAATTACCTCGTGCTTGGAAAAAACTTTTTCTCTTATGTTTACTTGAGGTCAAATACTCTCGTATTTTTCATGTGTTTTCACTTGAAATACATAACACAGAAGCATCGCTCAAGTAAAAACACATGAGTTTTTTGTAAAGTCCAGGTCTCATTAAAACAGCGTGATGCAATATTATCAGATGAGAAACACGATTAAAGCAATCTCGCACCAAAGTATTATTGAAACGAGCAGTCTTGTATTAATTCATTTTCTTTTCTACAGCTTGAATGAGCAAACGTGGAACTGGAGACAACTTTTTTTCATTTATTTTTTTGCAAAATAAAAATCAAATCAAGGTTTTAAGTTTTTCTAATTTAGCAGAAACAACAAGTAACAAAATAAATTTTATGAAATCTCACAGTTTTTATGTGGAAAAAAAATCAAACATTTTGGAAGCAGAACGGAAATCAAAAAAATTATGATGGATTTTCTTGAATTTGGAGATTGCAGAACTAATTGGTTATATAGATCAGTTATTTGACATCTTAGTTTTATAATGGTCAAATTTCTGATGACTTTTAATAGTAACCAAAATTTAAATATGAATTTGCGGTGCGGAGTTGTGTGCATCCTTAATGTGTTAATTCTCAGGTTTGTAATCATTTCGCAAAACACCTGATCTCAAAATGATCAGAAATGAATTCACCAGAGGCGGTTTTTCAGAATGAGGTATGAGATTAGTTTTTTGACAATGATCTCTGAAATATGACTTTTGAAACAACGAAATAGACACAGAAATGCTTGTGTGATTAGATTAGAAATCAATGTGAAATAAACGTTTGCGACAATTTGTTTTCTTGAAAGAAATATTAATTTAGTTAGTGTTTTGTCCAAAGTTTTCATAGCAGCAGAAAGTAATCACGAGAACCACTGGAGAAGCTTACCATTCCGGGAGATAGGCCAAAAACTGACCCTGACTAAGTAATGACTGGATCACGGAAAATTGAATCAAAAACAAGAGCCCCGTATCGGAAAATTTTTGACATTCTGGAAGACCTGGAAGACAGTCACACGTTTAATATCTGAATGTAAAGAACTGGATAAAATAAAACACCGGAAGTCAGATACTAAATACAAACTTAAGAGGTTATCAAATGAACACGTCAACCAGCAGCGCAAAAAGTCCTTAAATTAAGGATGAAAAGGAAAAATTGGCGATAAATAATTTGTACACCAACTTCAAAGAACTCAAATTGACACTTAGAAGGACCAGATCTAAGATACCACAACACAAATCCAGATCTTATCTCAAAAAAATCAAACAAAAAAGTCAAAATTCGAACTAAATTTTGCTATTCATTTGGGTAAAGGCGCTGTAATATAATACATGTAAGACCCAAGCCTAACGATCAATCTTTGCATGATTATCTCAGATAAAAAAAACATTGATTGATGTTAAGGATTGACTCAAATTGACAAAAATTCCAGGCAGCCCAATTATTA